ATATATATAAATCTATGTCTGTGTAAACTACTCGTACCTGATGATGACAAAACCTTGTTGAAACGTTGTGCATTTGCTGTTATGTTAAACTTATATTAAAATTTTTCTTCATTTCCCATTCAAGCCGTCTCCAGCCATTATTAGTCTCAAAGTGGGTTCCTTGTCATCAAATTTGAACTAATGAATCGTTTAAAACCATATAACAGTTGAGTCCCTGGATTCTACAGCCATCCTAAAGATTATAAGTCTGATTTACCCCCTGAGACCCATAGCATCTGCTTGAGGATCACTAGCAGAAATTATATCATGGGATTTCGATAGTCTGCTGCACCCATTATTGGACTTAGTCCCTGCTCATATCAATGGCACATATTATTTTCTTGGATAGTTAGATAATGACTCACACCTCATTACTGATAATTCTATTCTATTTACAATGGATGTTGTTCAACTGAAGAAGGTGTAGATTGTGTTATGACCATGAAAAGAGAAAACAGAAATGACTTCGAACTTTCTTTTAAATATTACAATTGATTGGTTAGAAAAAGCTCTAAGGTTCATGTTAGGTAGTGGGCATTTAAGATTTAATAAAAAAATCTTATAAACAAATTAGAGGAATAGCTATAGAAAATAGACAAGAAGTAGTCTTAGCTGTAACATTTATGTATATACTTGAATTGAAAGCACTTAATTCTTGCTAAACAGGAGGGAATATAAGCTCATCAATTTGGTACAGATCCATAGATGATGTATTCAGAGTGTGGAACACTAATTTAGAGTCTCTTATTTGTTTCCATGAGTTATTAAATACAGTTCATCCATTCATAAAACTTATGCCATACCAGGTAGAAATTTACCAATTTCAGATACTACAATTAACGTTAAGGATTAGTAAATCATTACTGGTATTATTAGCAAACCATCTACTAATGCCCTTTCTTTGCATTTCCACTCACATCATTCCCCTGCAGTAAAAATATGTCTAATTATTGGCTACCTCCATAGGATTGATAAAAATCTGTAATACAAAAAGGAAGTACAGAAGGAGGCTAGGGAAAATTTGATAACTCTTTTAAGAAAAAATGCTTACCCACAGGAACTTATATAAAATGTAATAAAAATATTTAATAGGCAAAAACAAAATAGGCATGTCCACTTGAAGTCGTGGAAATAAGGAAAGCACATTTAAAGCTCAGGTTACTTGGGTGATACCATAGAAATGTGATAATATTGCCATGAAACTGAAGAGAATAATTAGAACATAGAATTACCCCATAAAATAGTACAAAAACCAGACATCTCCTTTAAAGTATTAATAATATTAATAACAAGTTCACCATACAAGAAAGGAACACAATATGTAAAAAATAACTGTAGAGCTGCTATATATGGACTACATGATTGATGCTATAGTAAGAAAGTTGTTTATGAAGTAGCTTGTGACAGATTCTCTAGCAAGTATATAGGAGAGACTTGTCAACCAGTACATGACAGAATATCTGAGCACATGTGTGACATCCAAAACCTCAATGCTAACAATACTATTACTGAACATTATGGAAAAAAGCATGGGATATCACAAGCAGATAACATCTTATCAGATGTCAAGATCTTATCTAAATGTCATAGTTTTCTGGACTGAAAGATTAAAGAATCCATTTTAATCAAGAAAAAGGAAAAACAAATATGAAAGTTGACTTCTAGTGTAGAGACATCAATGGCACTTTTAAGATTTTAATATGTTTACATTTAAACTTTGACAAGTCTCTATACAATCTCATAATGGATAAAATACATTTTTCAACATTGTTTTGTGTATGTATTGGTAAACTAGGATGAAAAAATACTTACAGATAAACTTATGAAGATGTGTTTTACATACTAGCCTATCCTATGATATTATAATTAACCTGTTGATTTACACATATTATTTATGTACCATTGTTGGTTTGGTTTGTCTCAACAACTTAAATTCAAGAATGCTTGATATTATTTTAATATGATCTGAACCTTTTAGACATGTGAACAGATGTTCAATTAACTGATGACAGTGTTCCAGTTTAGTTACAAATGTATTAGTGAACTAATAGAATACTGATAGCTCCTGACAAAGCTGCAATTGTAAAATATTGAGCTAATAAAGATACATTCTGGAAATATAAGTCATTATTTTATTTACCTAAATAGAAATTTCTTGTAATAAACCCCTGTTTGTGTTAAAGAAAGTTAAGAATAATAAACCTATTATACTATTAATTACATTATACAAAACTGGTGACCTGGAACAAACTAACCTACTAAGAAGGAAAAACATATTACTAAATGCGAAGACTTACATATATTATCTTTTTTTTTACCATCCTGCTTAAAACAATAAAATACTATCTATATACGATATTAAATTTACTTTGGAACATAAAAACATTTCTTATTGTTCAAACATTTCACTCACAAAATACAATCTAACTACCATTACCAGCATCAGGAGTATAAGGATTGGGTTTTTGAGATTCTGTGTGAAAGCCATTTTTGGCCCAACTAAGCATCCCTGCAGAATCACTCTCAACAAACTCCACTTCAGCACGTACAGCCACTTCCTGTGATAAGATCAAAACAAAAGGTACAATTTAAACATTAACCTATAAAAATTCAAGTAATCTGTTTATAGCTTTATTTAGATAACAATTCAAACTTCTTTATAATTTGAGCTTTAACTTGAACTCATATTGATCAATAAAGATATTCAAACTACCAAAACAGAACAAATAAAATACAAAATTTGATTCAAGATTTGCAATACACTGATTAATAAAGTCTTTTAATAACAAGTTCGGATAACATGCCAGCAGTAAGTTTACAGACTTACAATGCAAAATATGGGGTTTGATTCCCTGTCGTGGACAGAGCATAGCTAGTCATTGTGCAGCTTTGCATTAAAAACAAACAAAACACATAAATAATTTTGTTAAACTGAAAAAAAAACATTTTTTTTAACATGAAGCTTTGTAGGAGCAGTCATACTTTGCTTGCAACTTTCATATTTATCAACCCTACTTTAAAAAAAGAAAAAGTCAAGCAAACCCAATAATACATATAGAATATTTTGTAATTCAAGCAGTTATTCATATTGTTCAAGTTCTAGTGCACATGAAGTACATGCTCCATTATATTTATGATTTAATTCAAAAGATGTTACATTGACAAAACTACCAGGGGTGGATCCAAGATTTTTCCTAGGGGGTTATGTTCTTCCACAAGGTCATGAAACCTTTAGAAAGAAAAAAATTTACTTGTTCTATTATATCTAAGGGTAACCATTGTCTGGTAATCCATGAATACATAACACTATATTATTCTTACAGTTCACACCACTAATATTTAGACTTACTCGAATTGCTTCTACAACCCCTGTTTTAAACATTTTTCCTGCAAAGTCAGTAAACTTGCTACTAAAATCATCAACAAAGTCCACAAGCTTGTCCCTTGGTAGCTGAAATAGTAAATGATTAATTAACAAACAAAAAAGAAAATGAGACCTTAAGATAATATGTGCAAGTATATTTGCAAGGAATTTAGATAAATGAAAATTTACAATATGATATTCAATGAACTTAATAGTACAGAAAAGTAAATAACGATTTTCAAAATAATGATGTTTAAAGGATAATTTACAGCACACAAATGTCCTCAAAAATATACAGAAAGTTATTCATCTTTTAAGCTTTTATCACATCACTTCTATTGAAAGATATAGGTAGTATTTTGCACCTATAACACTACAGTTAATCTTATTACAAAATACTTTTAAGATATAATGTTTAATACATTGTATTCCACATAAAACATTTTCATCAAATGGCTTCAATTATCCAATAAAAGAATCAAACTTATCAATTAGCTCCAACAACCTTTCCTAAAGACATTTTTCTCACATAAATTCAAAGTTCACTGCCATAATGAAGGAAAAAAATAAATAAACTCACAAACAAATTTTTTTATTAAACTGCAACTATTATTTAACAATCTGATGATTTATGTATAAATAGAAAATAATACTATACCAATCAAAAGTAATAAAAACCTTAAAAATACAAAACAATTTTATTTAGCTTCTTCAATAGTATACATAACATCCCATACCTCAGATATCTTGTGATCCCCAAACCAAAACACCCAAGTTTGACCAGGACGAGCAGGTGGCTGGCCACAGTCAGCCCCCCAAATGACTATGGCCGGCCACCAACGAGTCGAGCCAAGTTTAGCCCATATGATCTCTCCTACACTTGCATCCTGAAATTTGAAAAAAGTGGTTATGCTTTGTATATCTTCAATTTTTTTCTTTCTTTAAGTTAGATCATTTGTGCATTAACCACTTATGTCTACAAATGGAAAAAAAAACAATAAACTACTTTAACTAGAAATACCTAATTTTTCACAAGTTGTTTACCTGAGGTTTTAGATAATGTGGCCCCCCAGTGGCTCAGCAGTATGTTTACAGGCTTACAATGCTAAAAATCAGGTTTTGATACTCATGGTGGTCAGAGCACAGATAGCCTATTATGTAGCTTTGTCTTTAAGAACAACCAAACCTAAATAATTTAATAGATTTATGTGCACTAAAATAAGAATAATTAACATAAGTGCACTGCTTCACAGATTGAACATTTTTCCTATATTTTGTCAAGATTGTTTGTTTGTTTGTAATTATGCACAAAGCTACACAAGGGCTATCTGTGCTCTGCCCACCACGGGTATCGAAACCCGGTTTCTAGCGGTGTAAGTCCGCAGACATACCGCTGTGCCACTGGAGAGCATTTTGTCAAGAAGAATTATACTTGTAAAATAAGAATAAAAACGTTTCAATTCATTAATTTATACTGAATGGATCTCATTGAAATCAAAATTAAGAACAGTTGTCACAATGGTTCTTAACAGAAGCTTCTCATACAAAAACATATTACAAATGTATGCATTAAAGTTTTAAATAAATGTTAATTAGTTTTTAGAAACTAATTTACAAATAGCTGGTGCACTGAGCTATTAATTTTATTAATAATAAGTTATGCAATGGAATATTATGTGAGACCTATATTCATTTCCTACTCAACTTATAATATATTTCAAGCATGTGAGAAAGGGAACTATTTTTAAATCAACACATACTACCTGATTTACTAAAATTTTCAATTCACATAAATGTCATAATGCTACACATATACAAGGTTATCTTTACATGAATTCTGTGAATTAATTCTGCATTAACAAATGCAATTAGATTTTTTTCTCTGAAGTTTTTGCTAGAAACATGTATTAACACACTACATACCAAAAGCTTGTTAGTTGTGTCCTGATCCAATTCCTGGTTACTAATGTCAGATAAAAGCTCTCTGTCTTCAGAATTAAAGCTGTCCTAAAGGAAGAACAGAAAATATAAAATAGGAGCCACTGTTATCATGTAAAATCTCATCTTATCCTGTTTTTTTAGAGAACAAAAATGATTAAGTTGTGCTAAAATTAATTTTTCATGAGTCTACACTAAAAAAGCAACTTATGTCTGTTTGTTTAGCTGTGAAGAAAACTTCTCAACTTCCCAAACTCTGATCTCTTAGAAACTTTCAGGAATTCTTAAGTATGCCTTATTAGGATTCTAAAACCCCTTACTTTATTCATTTTCTCATTTTTATGGGTTTGTCAGCCATTTCAATTTTCCTCCTTCCTATAGCCTTAATAGTGGCATGTGACACACAGGAACACCATCCAACCTTCCATGTAAATCAGATAAAATAAATGCCACATATGGCATGGGTACCTTTGCTAGTTACAAAAAACATTGATTTACCTCATTTTCTTTATTCCTTTTTTACCATGTTCATTATATAATAACATGTAAAATCAAAAGTATGATTTCACACTTCCTTATGACTTAAGCAAAAAGTCCAAACTTGAAACCACATAGCAAAGCTGTAGTTCCTAGTTTTTCTACTACTAACCACAAGGTCAAATACAAATAAATTGATTCATATATCCAAATATATACATATCCACACATGATCAAAAGTTAAATTTAGAAAGGAGTGGATTTGAAAATTCAATTCAAACAAAGTGTCTACTACCATCATCTTATTTACATAAAATCTTCAATATAAAGTTGCATTCAGATACTACAGTTCTTCAAAGTACAATCAACATGCTAAAAAACAATAAAAAACACACCTTCTGAATGCTTATTGCAGTGTGTTATCGATATCACTAGATAACAATTAGCTAGTTCTGATTTAAGCTGAGCTTTCTCTGGAGGGGTAACAAGCTTCACAACATATAACAATCGAGGGACAACAAGAAGCACCTTGGTCCATCATAGCTGTCCCATTCATTTATCAAACATCCATCTGACTATACCTAGCCCTGACTTCCCAAGTATTCATCAAGCCCTCTTATGAACTCTCTCAATCCTGCTGTATCTATCATGTCTGAGGGCAATCTATTCCAAAGGCTGCTCACCCTGTTCAAGAAATAAAGTTACTTAATTTGCAGATGACTTCTACATTGCCAAGTCTTAAATTTACATCCTTTAGTCCTACCACTCTTACCATTAAACAGACAAAAAGATAGTGCATCAATCCATCTATTCCGCTTATAATTTTTAAAGGTTCAGTCAGATCCCCTCTAACCCTTCTATTCTCAAAACAAAATAATTTTAAAAACCTTAACCTGTCCTCATTTGACAGCCAGTCCCTCCCAGAAATCACCTTAGTAGCCCCTCTTTGAACTTTTTTCCAACAACTTAATGTCCTTCTTAAAGTAAGGAGCCCAAGACTGAGCACAATACTCTAAATGAGACCTAATTCAGAGATCTATACAAAGAAACAAAAACCTCCTTTCACTTATATTCAATATTCTTATTGATCCAAAATCCTATTTGCTTTCCCATTCATAACAACCCACTGACTGAAAAATTTGTGAAACTAATCAGCCAAAACCTCAAAATATTTTTCTTCCATAAAACTATTTAACTTATTTCTATCAAGGTGGTTATTATGGTATAAATTAATGATCCAAATCCATTTGTAAAAGAACAGCATTCTTCTTACAGTCAACTATACCTAAAATTTTAATATCTTCAGCAAACTGGACCAATTAGATTATCTTCTTATCAATATCATTAATGTAATAAGGGTCCCAGCATAGAGCCTTGAGGTACCCCACTTGCAACTCCAATCCAGTTTGACTGAACTTCATTTATTACAACCTTTTGCTCTCTCTTCTCTCAACAATTCTTAATCCTACAGAGATATAGGGTGTCGGAAAAGTCTGGAACCATAGGCACTTCATAAGTTTTACAATATGTGTTCCACGTGCTGTCCTTGTAATCCAAAACAAGTTTGGATGAACTCAACCTTTTCATGCTGTGACAGCACCATAATCAGTCACACATCTGAAATTAAGAAAGCTGCAAATACAGACCTTTTGGACACCTTGTAGTTTTCTTTATTAGTCTTTTATGTTGGCACTTTATCAAAAACCCTCCAAAAATCAATTTAAACCAAGTTTACACCTTTACCCTCATAAGCAGTGACATCTATAAAAAAGGTCAAAAGATTTTTGAGACAAGATGAATAGTGTTTGTCTCTAGATGTGATTTCTTTATTTCTGTGTAGATGTAGTAAAGACACAAGACAAAATGCTGAAAAAGAATGTAAAGAGTTATATCACTCTAAAAACAATAGAAATATTAGAAGAAAGGAAACAGATAATCAATGGCAATTTTAATATTTAATCTTTTGGTGTGTCCAGGGACACTACTAGCGTGACTTTTAGGTCATGGCAATCAATATATCTGAATATGTCAAAGGCCATGCAGTTAAAAGCAATATAATACTTAAGGGATCTATGTGAATACATCCAATTGCAACTGTAAAAATTCAGCATCAGAATCTTATCCTGACAAGGTTAGATGTAGTTACTGTGGAATGGCATATCAAGCACTTGATGATATATCTGACATTTGTTTAAAGGTGGCTCCCTGTAAGTTTTTCTGCAGATTCTTAGTACACAAGGTTTCGTTAGTCTAAAATAAACTGTGCATGCACCACCAATAAATCCATTTATGCCCAAAGTTTCTTTATACCTATCCAATATGTGTGTGTGTTCAAACATCAGCCAAACTATAGAAGTTCAAGATAAACCTACAATATGAGCAGGCAGTGACAAGAAAAAATGATTAGGCTCACCCAAAATTCAATAATAGAATACCCTGAAGTACATTGTAAGTTTTTACTTCTCCATGGATTTAATAATTTCATTTGGTTCCACCAGATGGCTGTAACAGAGACACATGCACAGACAGTAACATCAAATACAATATGCTTATACATGAAAAACCCTTTCAGTGCAAATGAAGTTACAAATATTAGAAATTATGTCATACTCTAAAGAACAGTAAGAAATGATAAGATAAACACATCATTTTAAAGAGACTCAAATACACACAAAATGTGAGCTAAAGTGAAATCATATTATACATCATATTATGAAATGAATCTAGTAGGCATTGAGAAATGGGGTATGGAGAGTAATATTTTACCACCAGGGCTTCATTTTCAGATGGAGAGGGCTGATTTTTGAGTTCAATCACAGCCAAAGCCCTGTTACTAACACTTTTTACTAACCACTACTTTTTCAAAACAGCTGCTCCAGTAAGAATTCAATTTCTCTCCTTTAAGTAAATTAAGAAAGTTTGTGGTTTCCATTCCTCATAACACCTAGGCTGGCTATGGCAGCTGCTGAGCTTTAAAAACTTTATGTACCAGTGCACTATGAGATTTGTAAATAAACTTTAGTGTGGATAAGCACATTACTAGCTAGAGATATATACTTTTAATAATTTTGTGTGCACATGTATGCATAAGTAACTTACTTACAGTGTAATTTTAAAAATATGAAAATAATTGCATATAATTCTAAATCTTAGGATGTATACAAACATAGCATTAAAATAAAAAAAAATTAAATTCATTGAACACTTGAGTGATAAAACTATTAACCAAGTTTACATCACACTAGTTTTAAAATAAAGATAATTTTCATAAGAGTATTGAATAATATATCTAACTGATAATGGCTGGAGACGGCTTGAATGGGTAATGAAGAAAAACTTTAATATAACAGCCATTATTAGTCTCAAAGTGGGTTCCTTGTCATCGAAATATCTAACTGATACCCACCTGAGACCCATAGAAATTACAAATTAAGACAATTACACAATTTTTTAAAAAGCTATTTTATATACTAAGCATGCTAACAACATAAGAAATTCATACTTGTTTAATGGAATGTCCTATGTAAAGTATAAAACATTTAACAAATTACTCCTACAGGTGTAATTTCAGATTATTCAAAACCATTGTCACTTTTAAGGAAAACTCTTCACAGCTAGGTCTCACAAGAATATCTAAGTTACACTGAAACATTTTAACCAAAATAATTTACTTTATTTTCCTAACAGGAGGCTGAAAATTGTTTTTAAACTCTTAAAACAAAAAAGAATTAAATAATTTTATTTATTTTTCTCAGACATATTTGAGGTTTTACTCATTATTATACAAGTTAGTTATTTTATTGGTAGTACTTATGCTGATATGTAAATAACATCACATTTCTTTTAATAATCATTTATTTCTTCAAATACATTTTTTTCCACAAAAATGTTTGAATTTAAATATTTTATCTGTGAATGTTAAATCAAATTCCAACTCTTAGATTGGCATGTAAAATATAATTTCACAGAGTGCTTATTATTTTTCAGATTTTAATTTTTTTTTTAAATTTTGGAAACTAATATTAAAATATCCAAGTTACTTTAAATAGGTTGCATCCTCTGAAAATTCTGAAAGTGATAGAATTGCCTTTTTTTTTATTCTCCCATGAGAATTAAGCAAGAACGTACTAACCCATTTTTGGAATGATTTGGACACTGTAATAACAAAATCATTCAATAAAAAGTTATTTTTATTTACATAGTATTCTGGTTAATAATTGCAGTATAAATACTGAAGCTCAACAAAAGAAGATAGTAAATACATAAAAATCTCGTAAGTACACTCACTGGTGATGCTGCTATCTGAGAAGATGAAGATGAACTACATATTGATGATTTCTTTGGTGACTGATCCTTGTGAGATGATTTAGTTATGGACCCTATTCCTTTGGAAGGGCTTGTTTTGGCAGTGTTGGTACTCACAATAATTTTGGCCTGCTTGTTTCCTACACTACCTTCTTGAGATGAAGGAGAGACCCGACGTTTTCTCATCATAATAAAACTCTAAAACACAAACGGTTTAAAGGTATAAAATAACACAAAGGTGCTTGCTATTTATTGAAGGATAGAATGATTAAATTAAAATATTGAGAATACTTTAATTAAAATTGGTAGCTGAAGGAGCTGCTTTTGCTGGGTTTTTTTGCTTTCATAAGAAAACATACATGTGGTTCCTTTTTCTGATTTTTTTCAATCATACCTTGCATAAGATATGTAATCACTATAAACCAATGTATTAAGAAGGCATACTATATGTTTTTCACTGCTTTACTTAACAAGTAAAATTTTCAAAATTATATTGTTTTTCTTAGTTCCCTGGTTCGATACAGAGAAGCACTCAAGTGGGTTATTAACTTTTGGTTTCTTTATGGGACAACCTAGGTTAACTGAAGGCCAAACTGCTTATCTGATTTTCTTATAGAAATAATAAGGTTATTTTCAAGTAATGAACTGAATTATTCTTGTCAGCAAATCATATAATAGTTGCAATTGGAATCATCCTTGACCTTCACTCGGGACCAGATTAATAAGCTCTCAGAAGGGTTAGAAGCTAAAAGTGAGCAAGTGCCTCCTATTTTATACAATTATAGAGATACAAATTATATTTGCATGTTTGACATTCCAAATACAGTGAGCAAAAACAGTTCAACAACAGCACAAAATATTTATTCATATACAATTTATATATATATATATTTTTTTTTAAAGAACAACTTTACATTTTTACAAAATATAGTAGCTGTATGTCATTTACTGTTGAATTATTTTCAAGAAATTAGCTACACTTTCCACAAAATTCAGCTAGACATCATAGCCTTGCTGACTAAATGTCTGATCTGTCTATTTATAGATAATAACTTGAAACTGTTTTTTTTTTCATAAACGATTCAGAAAATGTAAATTATGAATTAGTAACACAAATCTTAGTCAATGACTACTTGAAAGGTTTTTGCTAACTCTTTGGGGGGGGGGGGAGTAAGCAATAGCTTGGTCAGAATGGTCATTAATCTGGCCCTAAATGAATTTTTGCTTTATAACATTTTAATCAATAACACCTTAGTAACAAGAAAATGTTGCTTTTAAAAATTATTTAAAAAAATAAAACTTTTCAAAATGAAATTTAAAATGTTACCATGTTTAAACAAACACTTTAAACCTTAAATTGTGAACTCAGTGCTATACTCTAAATCTGTTCACTCCTAACTTGAACAACATTTTAAATCTTGCTTCTTAGAAGTGCATGGAAAGAACAACAACATTAAATAGGAAGTACTCTCACAAGTTGCTCAAACTCTGAAATGTAACAATGAAAGTAAAAGTATCAAGGAAATATGGAAGAAACTTAATAAAACACAACTGCAAAAATGATGGAAAAGGGAACTGCAAATTATGTAATTTCCTAAACTCTTCTAACTTAGAAAGATTGCAAGCTCTGCTCTCCCAGCCCCAACAATGTCTTAAATGTGTCAATAAACCCTCAAGTGTTTAACTCAATAAAACAATTATTGATTCCTGTTAGATCAGCTGGTCAAGAGGCATGAAGGCCCTTAAAAGACTTTGCAAATGGCAAAATTATACACTTAATATTGCCTTTAAAGAGTCATGTGAATAATTAAAATAACACCTTATTTTGTGAAATAAAGAACTCAGTATTTTTTTTTCTACAAGAAAATTTCATTTCATTGATTTTACTCTTTACAATCAAGAATTGAATTCAACTAAAGTTGTTCAAATGTATAATACCTGATAATGTTGAACTTGAGAGGGTCTAGGTCTTAAACATTCCTCCCAACCATTTGAGCCACGCCTGACTGGACTGGCCTTTACCATATAATCACGTGGGACCTTGCAACTTGACCTTGGAGAGACTTGAAAAGGGACTAGCTGGTCATCTGAATCTTCATTTTTCTCCAGTGGGGATAAAGGAGCTGAATCTACTGATTCTTTATCTTCTAGTTTCTGTTCAAGACAAGAGATAATAGACTCCCCTGCTTCCTCAACTTTTTGATCCAACCTTTTTCCATCTATATTGTAATGCTGTTGTTCTCTAGAAAAATCAAAGGATTTTTTGACTGGTTCCTTGATTTCCTGTTCAACATTTGAAGTGGAGTTTTCATCTGAATTTGACTCTTCTGGAAGTTTATTAACTGTAGCATCTTCCAAAGAAAATGGAGGAGATTCTGAATGCTCATTTAAGCTGAGATCTTTGATTGCTCCGGTCACTTGCTCTGATGAGGAGTCAGGTTCTTCTGATGTACAAGAATGAGAACCAGAAGACCTAGAGTACAAACTTAGGTCTTCAGGAACAAGAACATTTCCTAAATCTGTAGATTCAGAGGGGAAATGTGATTCACTTCCTTTTGACTTAGATTTTACTTTTGGTCGTTTCTTCTTCTTTTTCTTGTACTCAAATGGAATCTTATTTTTACTTTTCTTTTTCTTCTTTTTCTTTTTGTTTGGAGTTGAGTTTTTTGCAAGTTGACTCAAGTAAGCCTGCAAAAAGTATCAGAAATATTACTTTCTGAGTCCCAACTCATGTTAAAGTGTCACATAAAGATGTAAACAAATATCCAAATCATATAAAATTGACTGCAAAATATGTTGGACTGTGATCTATAATAACAATTCTAGCAGAAAACAAAAAAGGCCAAGTTATGTTCATAACCAGCAAATGTTATGTTTTGGAACAAGCCATAAAAGCCACCACTAGTTTCAACATTTTGCTAGTGCCATGCTGATAACTATGTTTACAAATGCCATGCTAGTTCACATTTGTAACTGGTTTTAGAAGCATTATACTGGTTCACCTCAATCACTATTTTTGGAGGTATTATATATTTTCACAGTGATAACTGTTCTGACAAGTACCATGCTGGTTCACATTTGTAACTGGTTCCATGGGCATTATGGTGATTCATACTGGTTTTTAATAGATAATAATATACTGGTAACTAGTTTCTTATGGTATCATACTGGTTTATACTAATAATTAGTTTTTCTTGGTACCAAATTGGTTTATTCTAATAGTTGGTTTTATGGGTACCACACTTGTTAACATCAGTAACTGGTTTTTCATGGTATCATACTTTTTAAACTAATAGTTTGTTTTACAGGTACCATGTTAGTTAATATTGATAACTGGTTTCTGATGATATCCTAGTGGTTTTTACTAGTACTTTGCTAGTTCACACTAATACCTGTTGTTTTGGTACTATGTTGGTCAGTACTGATAACTGGATTTTGCTAGTACCATGCTGATGAACATTTGTATTAATACCATTTTCAACCAGTTAATGGCCCTATGCTTACATCAACATATATATCTGTGTATATATATATATATATATAATGATTGCATACTCTGAAGAAATTCAGGTATCCTACACCAGGATTTTTAGCTTGTTATAACAAAAAAATACAAACTCTTAAGCAATAACAATTTTATGATGTTACACAAAATGCATTTTAAAGTTTATAGACCTATAGTAGTAAAATTACACAACCCGAAAAGTTAAAACAAAAAATATATTGAAATATATTCAACACACGAGACTTGAAAACAAGATAAACACAGCATAATTTTTGAAGTGTGTGAGAAAGACATAGCATTATATTTACCATACTTAACAGATTTAAGTAGTATTTCCCATCTTGAACAGTTGATAGATGGAAACATGATCGACATGAAAACAAAAAATATAATGAAATATATTCAACCCATGAGACTTGAAAACAAGTTAAACACAGCATAATTTTTGAAGTATGTGAGACAGACATAGCATTATATTTACCATACTTAACAGATTTAAGTAGTATTTCCCATCTTGAACAGTTGATAGATGGAAACATGATCGACTTGATGACTGCATTAATTCTGAGCTGGTTAAGAGAAAATTGGGCAGTTTAAAAACAATAAGGCTCCTGGGCCAGATGATATACCCCCCAGGGTTTTGGAGGAGGTTAAAAATTGGATATGTGAGCCACTTACTACTATTTTTTGTCAGTTCTTGAATAGTGGGCAGGTGCCAGAGGATTGAAAGTTAGCTAATGTAACTCCTATTTTCAAGAGAGGTGATAAAAATTGTTTCAGTAATTATAGACCCATTAATCTTACATCAGTTGTGGGAAAAGTTATAAGATGCTTTGCAAAGTTCTTTAACAAAGTTTAGAATTTTATTGGATAGTCAACATGGTTTCACTAAGGGAAAATCTTGCCTTACAAATCTTTTAACATTCTTTGAAAAGGTTATTGCTTATGTAGATGATGGTAAGGGTGTAGATTTGGTGCATCTGGATTTTCAGAAAGCATTTGACAAGGTGTCACAAAAAAGGCTTGTTAAAAACAATTATGAGAGATAAGTTAGCTAATTGGATAGAAGAGTGGCTGGATGGAAGAAAGCAAAGGGTTGTTACAAAGGGAGTTCAGTCAAACTGGATAAATGTCACAGGTGAGGTACCTCAGGGCTCAGACTTAGAACCTTTGCTCTTTTTGACTTACATCAATGACACAGATAAAGGAATGGTCAATAAATTACTTAAATTTGCTGATGATATTAAAGTCTTGGGTGTTGCTGGCTATGAGGATGATGATGCTGATTTACAAAAGATTTAGATAATTTAGTAAGTTAAGCAAACAAATGGCAAATGTTTTTTAATTATAATAAACACAAGATAATGCATGCTGGTTATCATAATTTGGATGGGAATAACCTTAACAGTGTTATGAAAGAAAGGGATCTTGGTTGATCAGTCTCTTAGGCCATCCAAGCTAGTGGTAAGGGAAATAGGATTTTAGGTTGTATCTACAAAAATACTAAATACAAGACTAAAGAGAGTACGATTTCATT